TTCTTACAATTTTTTTATGTGGCGTCGAAGATTACCAGTTTCATTTTTGCTATCACATAGGTAAGTACTGCCACATTTCTTACATTTACATTTTTGTTTTCCATCATTCATATTAGGTAACATCTCATAATGGCCCCAAACAAATGAGGTCGTCCTTCGCCGTTTCTTAGTAATTGTCCCCTCATTACATATCTCGTTAGACGGCTCTACAACATTTTCACAAGTCCGAACTTCTTCATTTTCATTAATAGAAAAATTCTCATGAATGATGTTGGAATCCTCCATCTAACCAAAACATTAAAATATATTACAAATTTACAGTACTAATTCTAACCTATTTGTTAATTTTCTTGTTTAAAAAATACATATAACACATTGAGACTTTAACTCATTAAATTATTCGCCAAATGCCAAAAAAAAAAAACTTCTCCAGCATAACATGTATGACATAAAATGTATGATTAAGAAAAATAATCAAGAAATCTCTAAGACCAAAGTCAACCATCTTACACTAAAAGAATTAAGGAATTCATAAAATACTACATATTTCGACTTACAATATGCATCATATAGCCAATTTCATCAGCGAGTGAGAGTTAATACTTAATGAGTTGATGGCTTGCTTAACAATGAACATAAACACTCATAATAACAACTAAGAATAACAACATAATTGCCAAATACAAATATAACAGCATAACATATCCTCTGAATATAAAAAAACTGCTCCAAAACCAGATGCTCAACAGCAACAAAATAACAGCATTAACTGAATAGAAAAACTAGCACAAACTAAATAGAAAAACCATCACGTCGAGCTCGACTTGGCTCATTTGCACACCAACTGCGATTGATTAAAAACCAACAAGGATTTAATAGAAAAACCAATACAAACTGAACAAAAAAACCCCTCTGAAACCAAATTTAACTGAACAATTCCTCATCAACTTTTCGGCCAAAAACAACCCCAAAACCGAAAGCATGTCAATCCACAAATGCATGCCAAACTTAACCAAATTTTCAAAAAAATTGATATAATATTCGAGATAACAATAAGTTAGCAAGACAACAACAAATCGGACAAACCCTAAACGGCTAAACCTAAAAACTTCTCACATAACTTCAGAATAATTTGATCAGACAGCAAGATAGCAAGCTAACCCTCTACTCTGCTCATAGATCAAGCTTCTAAAAGGAGAAAATAGAAAAAAAGATAAGAGATACAAACAACGAGCGATGTAAATGTTTGTGTTGAGCCAAACGAGATGTGCACGATGAACACCATGTACCAATAATATGCCAGAGAAGGAGAAAAGAGGAAACCGTCGACAAAGCGAGGAGATCCAAAGAGAAGAAACGGAAACCCTAGACGAAGCAGCGAAAGGAGAGGATGAAGCGGACGCGAAATGAATACGCGCGGATGCGAAATGCAGTCGCCCTAACTCCTAATTAATCCATCGTGCAAAGTGAATACAATGCGGGTCAAAACGGGTTCGCTATCGGGTTAACCCAAACCCGGCTCGAAAGTTGAACCGGGTCATTTTAATGAACCCGAACCCGACCCGTTTTGAATTCGGGTTGTGTCAGACCCGAAATTTTCGGGTCGGGTTCGAGTCGAGTTTTCATGTCGTGTCAATTATTAACACCACTAACTCCATGCAGTCTGACCACCTCTCTGATGAAAGTTGATGCGACTGTTATTGCAGTGTATGAATATCGTAGGTGAATGAAATGAGAATACTTGCTCAATCAGTCCACTACCATTAGGATCACTGTGAACCCTTCTGATCAGGGAAGTCCATCTATGAAATGCATGGATACCTCCTCCCATAGTCAACCTGGTAAACCTAACGACTATAGTAATCCCCCTGGAGACATGACCATATGCTTATTCCTTTAATAGATCTCATATCTGGCTACCATCTCCTCCACATCCTTATGCATCCCCTTCCAATATAGCTTTGAAGCTACTCTCCTGTATGTATTTTGTGCCCTTGAGTGACCCCCAATAACACTCCCATGAAACTCATGGAGCAAATGTGGAATATGGACTAATGTTTTAGGCATCACAAACCTGCCCTGGTATAGAAGTATCCCCCCTCCAAAGAATACCCCGGGTGGCTACTCCCTTCCCTCAATAAATCAACCATAATTTTTCCCAACTCCACATCCCTGGCACTCTTCTCCTTGATGGACTCCCACTCTAACATCAATGGATTGACATTGTTGTCTCATGCAACTCTCTCATACATCTGGACAAGGCATCTGCCACCATGTTCTCCACTCCTGGCTTGTATTGGATTTCAAAATCATACCCCAGCAATTTGGACAGCCGCCTCTAATGCTCCTGTATCACCATCCACTGCTCCGACAAGTACTTCAAACTCCGCTTGTCTGTTCTTACAATGAAATGCCTAGCTAATAAGTAGGGTCATCACTTCTAGATGACTAATACAATGGCTATTAACTCCCACTCATGAATTGATTTCAGCCTAGTTCTAGCTGTTAACACTTGGCAGAAATATGCAATGTGTCGATTATTCTTCATGAGTAGTACCCCCAATCCATATCCTGAAGCATCTATCTCCACCATGAAGATATGAGTGAAGTCAGGTATTGCTAAGACTAGTAAAATAATGATAGCCTTCTTCATGCTCTCAAAGGCTGTTATGGCTTCCTCCCCCCATATGAAATCATCCTTCTTCAACTGCTCTATTAATGGCCATGCTATGGTGTTGTACCCCTTCACGAACCTCCTGTAGTATCCTGTCAGTCCTAGGAATCCTCTCAGCTCCTTCAGATTCTTAGGCTTTTGCCATCTCAACATAGCTTCAATTTTTGATTAGTTTGCTGCCACCCCCTTTGTAGACACAATATGACCCAAATACTCCGCACTGGCCTGGGAAAAATAACATTTATTCAGGTTGGCCCTTAGCTGGTGCTCCTGCAACACCTCTAACACCCTCCTCAAGTGCTCGCAGTGCTCCTTTGTCATGTTGTAAACTAGGATATCGTAAAAGAACACCAAGAAAAATCGCCTGAGATAAGATATGAAGACCTTGTTCATGAGTGACTGAAACATGGCTGGAGCGATAGTGAGGCCAAAAGGCGTCACTAGGAACTCATAATGCCCCTCATGAGTTCTGAAAGCAGTTTTGTGCACATCTTCCTTCTTCGTTTTGACCTGATGATATCCTGACTATAAATCTATTTTGGTGAAGATCACTGCCCCACTCAACTCATCCAACGGCTTATCTATCACTAGTATAGGAAACTTGTTTGGCACAGTCTCCTTATTTACTATCATGTAGTCCACACAAAACCCCCAGCTTCCATCTTTTTTCTTCACCAGTAATACTGGACTAGAAAAATGACTAACACTTGGCCTGATAATTCCCCACCAGTCCTATTGCCTCCGATGCTGTCGTTTGAATTTGATTTTCCAATAGCTTCTTCATCATCGCATGAAGATTGAAAACTGTCTTCCATGAATGATACCTTGCTTTTTACAGTTGAGATTCGATCTTCCAGCATGGCTTTTATTTGGCTCATCTCCCCTTCAAGGCATTCCTCCAATGCATCTACCTTCTTGGCCGCTATCAATTTTTTGTTTTTAATTTTTATCTAAAAATCAGCAATAAACCACTAGGAAAAAATCATCGCTGAAATTTCAAAAAAAAACAGCCCACAATGATCCCAAAATTTGCTCTTATACCAGTTTGATAGGAAACACTTGAAGATTTCAAGAAATCCTATCAATAAAGATAAAAACAACAAAGTGCTCAACAAATTCAATGGAAAGAACAACAAAATAGTGATTTTTATTGTATAAAATCAAACTAATGGAAGAAATAAAGCAAGATACAATTAATCTTCAATTCGAGAGGAGGATCGTTCTCTCCCAATCCCTAGACGAATCTAGGGTCCAACACCAAGAACAATAACTCCAAATCAGTCACAAAACAAAGCATGCACTAATCCCAAACAACTCCTATTTAATACCTTAATTCCCTAATTTCAATCTCCTAATTCAACTTTTCCTCCCAATCCTAACTATCCCCCTCTCCTTCCCTAATTGGTTTGCCTAGTGGGGTTCACAAGGCTTGGGTGACAAACCTAAGGAGCGGTTTTGTCCGCCTCCTGTAAACCAGAGCCAGACCCCCTTCGGTCGGCTAGGCCAGTTCGGTGAGAACCAACCTAACAACCTCCTTTCTCGGTTTCCCAGCTATAGGCATTCCTTGGATCTTTTCATGTTGCCAACAAGAATGTCTCCACCATCCACCATCTCTTTTTTCTTTTGATTCACACTATTGTTTAAAATTATGTAATTGGAGGCGCACCTCAGGGCACATGTAAAGTACCCTGAAGCTTACTTTTCATATTGGAAGAAAGAAATATGCACCTCAATTGTTTAAGGCATGAAATGAGGCGCCACTTGAGGCAGATGTAATGAAGTGTTAGCCTCTATTTTAGGGTTTAGATGGTATTTTTTTTTTACTATCCAAGGCCCAATTTGCACAATTACCTTATCCCGATCAAACCTTAACATAACTCGAGTGTTCTAACGATCTGACAACCCCATCTAGGTTTCTACCCTATTGGACATAATTCCGATCCACTCAAAGATATGTCCCATGTTCTGGCTGGCCATAGTAGTTGGCAAACACTAAAGCTGGTCAACCAACACTTAGGCCCGGTATAATTTGTTAAAAAAAAGGCCTAAAAACAATGAAGAACTATGAATGAATAATAGGAAAAATAATAAAGAAATTCCATATACTTTAAAATGCAGAATTAAATAATCTTTTAAATCATCCAAGCTCTTTTCAAGTGTACCCATTATATGGAAATGCATGAGAGTCCTACTCATGAGTACGCCTAACAATGTCTGTTTTAGGCCATGGTTGCATTTATATGCTACAATTTCTCATGTATACTAATGTTTTCATTTAAATATTTTGAACTTATTGATTTTGGTCATGCTCTTTATATTTTTGTAGTACGAGGGTGCATGGGTCGATGATGGAAAGTCTCCAAGCATCTGGGATACTTTTACACATGAAGGTAATTTCTCTAGAAAAATTTTGGGTCTGAATATTCTTCTCAAATTTTAATCATGGGTATCATAGCTATTCAATTACTTTAAATTCAATACGATACATGAAAAATAAATCAAAATTTATATTGTACTCACCTTTCAAGGTAACAAATTATTGGTAAATCAACATGCATGTTCCAAAAAAACTTGATTTTTACTAGGGTAAAATGAGAAAGATTTATCCTCATGCTGAACATTCATTTATGCGTGAAACTATGAAACAAAGCTGAGGGTAAATTTGAATGAATTGGCAGTCAAGTTAAAGAAAATGTTTTAAGATGAAACAAATATTTTCCCAGGATGGGCTGGAATCAATAACCCAGACACGGCTTCTGATGGTTATCACAAATATAAGGTACACGTTCCATTGCTAGCAAACTTATATTTCCCTCTGATGTCTTTGTATTCAAGGTTGAATATGGAATAGAGTCCCATCATATTATGTTTATGTACTCTTCAAATAATTAGATACATCGGACATGAAAGCCACAAAAAGGCTCTACTCTAAAGAATTTGGCATACAAGATTTGAAGCCTAATCATATTCCCTTTATGATGAATTATCTTACAAGATTTTTGAAGTCTGTTCTGTTGATTGCAAGTTTTTAAGGCCTGATTAAGTAATTTAATTTCAGTTCGTCCTCTTCAAAAAAATCTGTCGTTTTGCAAGTTTCAGGTACGTGGCAATGTGCCATGGAAAGCACTGTACTGTGGGCAACAGATTTGTGGAGCTGAAGGGTTGCAGTTAGTCTCTTTCATGGATATAGTATACCACAAACAACCAAACAAATTTTAAATGTTATTTCCCAGTTATGATATACTCTATTTGAGTTATTAAAAATTGTTGCATTTAAAGGTAAAAAATCTCATTGTATATTGTTTCAGGTGACAAACTGTTACGCCGGCCCAGGAGGGGCCGGCTGGACCGGTCCAACCGGGACCGGTCTAAGTCTACTCGCGACGGAACCTCGCGCAGGAGGCGGAACCGAGCGGGCGAAGCACAGCCGTCGGGGGCCAGGGAAGATTTTTGGGAGGGAAATTTTGAATGCGAGGGGCTGTTTAGACATTTTGTACAACTCCTTTATGGTTAATTAGGAGTTTTGGGGTGAAGGGGGGGATTATCTTGAATTTGTATTCTCTTGGAGTTCTAGGGTTTCTTGTTTGGGCTCTTGGCGTTGCCGGAGATTGTTGGAGAGTTGTTCTTCCTCTCGAATCGAAGAACATTGTATCTTTCTTATGGTTTTTGCTTCTACTATTGAAATACAATAGTTTTGTGCAATTTCTTCTCAGATTTCTCGCGTTTTCTTCCTGTTTTTCCCTGATTCTTGGCTGGTTTCTGCTGTGGACAGCAGTTTGGCATTGGTTCGTCTTGGTTTTGGGTAAGAAACACTTGGAAATCCAAGTGTTTCCTATGATAAATCGGTTCGTCTTGATTTTTGGGAGGGAAAAACAGGAAGAAAACGCGAGAAATCTGAGAAGAAATTGCACAAAACTATTGTATTTCAATAGTAGAAGCAAAAACCATAAGAAAGATACAATGTTCTTCGATTCGAGAGGAAGAACAACTCTCCAACAATCTCCGGCAACGCCAAGAGCCCAAACAAGAAACCCTAGAACTCCAAGAGAATACAAATTCAAGATAATCCCCCCTTCACCCCAAAAGATGGCCACATTTAGCGAGAATGTGGAAGGGAAATTCATGGCTTTGGAGGAGATGATGAAGAAGTTGTTGGAAGGGCAAGCAAGGGCTGTGCCAGTGGAGGAAAGAGGAGAAGGTAGTGGGAGCAGGGGTAAGGAGAAGGTGAATCCAGAAGAGGAAGAGGAGGTGGAACTGCTTAACAGCAACGGGAGGATGCCACCTCGGGAGTCCATCAGGCGAGAAGAACATGACA